GCTGATAGTAATGGGAACTGATCTCATAATAATAATAATAATAATAATAATAATAATGTAATTCTGTAACATCAGACATATTTAAGATAACTTATTTTCTCTGACAATTTGGTATACAACACAATGCAAATAATGTCATTAACTTTTGTGTTCCTATTGTCATATAACTGCACAACTATAAAAGTGTTTTGATTTAGGGTCTCAAATGCTAGCTGGGTAAACAAGAGGCTGACAATTATTGCTGCACTTTCATCAAATTACTTTATAGTCATCTAGTGGTCCGCCAAAATGAACAGAAATATGTCAACACCTGTACTGTGTAATCATGACACAGACAGCCCTGCCAAGATATAAAAACAGGTGTTTTTTTGGCCATGTTTGTGAAAATGTGTTAAGTTCACCAGGGTTATTATCCACACAGAATATAATTTTTAGAATACTGTTTCTCTACATATTTGCCCATTACTATGGTTTTAGTGAGATCAATCCAGGGATCTTGGTTGCTTTGGCAGGTTTGCCTTAAACATCAGCTGCAAATTTTTTGAAAATATTTGAGGCTTACTGCTGAGGACTCAGTTCTGTGAAACACTGACACCAACAACCCTTGTCAGAAATAGATAAATAAGGAATCTCAAACAGAATATTTTCTCAGCCACAGTGCACAACACTAAAGAACATTACAGGATGACTGTTTTTTTAAGAGTAAATTAAGTTTTCTGGGTAGGGGTAGGGTAGGGGGCAGCTACATTATGATACACAATTATCGAATATAGAGCAAAGTGGCTGCACCAACCCCTGTTGTAACAAGGGGGGAGAGCCTCTTTTACCTTAGGCATCGGCCCAGACTTGTGAGAGAGCGCATGACTGAGTTGATCACGCACACTGCAGTTTGTATGGACTGAGTGGAGTGACAGACTTTTTTGTTTTGTTCCTCAGTCTCCCCCTCTGTCTCCATGATCCATTGTGTCTTAGGTTACTCGATCTGAGTCACAATCCTGAGTCAACCTGGTGGAATCAAATGTGGAGTCAAGACAGCAACATGTTTATAGTCACAGGCACATCACTCATGCTGAATAGCTAAGAAATGCTGTCTTTATTGCTAGATGATTTTTCTTTTTTTCATTTTTAGTTGAGTCAGAATCATCAGTCCTTTGTTGTAATAAGTATTTCTGACAGGCAACGGTGGACGTTCAAAAGAAATGTTGGAGAAGGTCTGTATGAATGACTTAGCAAACATCACACAAAGGGCAACTGATGTTAGTGCTATCTCAATCTTATTGTGCTGAGAGAAACTAGCATTGATTGATAGAAAGGCAGGCAATAGTTGAAACGTGGAAGAGGACACTGATAATGGATTACATAGTGCAGCTTTCCAGTGGAGTTAGATTGTTCAGAACAACTGCTCAAATACATTTTCAGGAAGACATGTGAGGTTTGACAGTGGACTCGTGGCAACTTTGCATTAAGCTTGATAATAAAGCAGAGAAAGGGCTGTATCTAGTGATGACCGGACAACTTCCTTCACATAGAGTAGACAAATGGACAGGAGAGAACCTACCAGTCTGTGTGCTTATCAACAGCAGCAGCTGAACATGGACCAATGGGTTAAAAGGTGAAATGAGGAGACAAGAATGTAAAGGGCCAGATGGAGAAATGGATAGGGCAACACAATCTCCCTGATGTTGCATGTTTAATTAAGACAGTTAAGAAGATATTGTATGTTTAAACGTAGTCAGAGCGTGACAATAAAAATACCATGTGAAACAGTTTAAGTAATAATGATGTCAGTCTACTGTGCAAGCTATTTTTTTTTCTGTGTCCAACATTTGAATCAATTGTTGTGAACCATTTTTTGCTGAAGTTGTAATTCAGGCAGATCCCTTTAATTTCTTTAATTCATCTGCTGCACAGACAGTGAATAAAGTGTCGACTTTCTGTTGCCATGAGACACTAAATTAAGTTGTCTGACGAAAACCCTAACAATTGAGTAAGTGCTTGAACAAAAACCTTGTACTTTATTTGACAATAAAGCACCAGAGTTTTTGCCTATGTAGCAGATTATATACCCTTGTGATGTCACATTCACGTCCTCCAGTATTTAGATTTAGGTTCTAATGTGGTCAGGAATTTTCAGTGAATGCGACAGAAAGTAAAATAAATATCTTTAATGTAACACTTGGCAAAGGTGATTCTGAGGAGCTGTGATTTTTTACAGGCTATTTTGCCTGTAGAGTTATGCGACATGTTTTAATTTTGATCGGTTTACATCGAAGCTCACATGGATCTGCCCCTTGCTGTGTGTGCACTCTCAAAGTAAGTAATTGTTTGATAGTAGTATGTCCACAGAAAAGAGAGTGAATTAACACAGTTTACATAATCATTGCTTTGTAATGTGAATTTCACAAGGAGTTAAAAAGACACCAGACACACAAGGTTTCTGTGGCTCAAGATTTTTTGGGATGAAGGTTTGAAAAAATTGAAAATCCAAGAAATCTAAAATTAAGACTTGGTATGCAAACTCCTTAACCAAAGATAAGGTTCTGCCTAGACAAACAACATCAGAATTAAGGAGACAAAAGACGAAATGTAGTGATGCAGAAGAAGATACAGAGACAGATTGAAAATAAAATTGGAGCTTATACGATGGGGAAATTATCTGTAAGAGAAAATGGTGGGGCAAGACATGAAAAGCTAAAAGCGAGACAGGTTAAGAATGCCGGCGCTGGACTTACTGCAGGAAACTTTATGTGGTGGTCGTGGGGGAGGCAGTGGCTGGCTCTGTCTGCTGGTTTTCTTGGGCTTCCGGCTCCAGCCATTTCCCTTCTTCTTCCTCCTCCTCCTAGCGGATGGCCCAGGCATAGGAGGGTAAATACCTGAAAGGTCATGCATGGAATTAGGACAATAAGATAAGGGCATAGATGGAGTTTCTTTGTGTGGGATTGCCATCGTCCTGTTTTAATTCTGTTCTTGTCCCATTTCTGTTAATTGCTCCATGTTTATTTTTTTCTACTGGTACCTGATAAAAACCTAATTTCCCTATAGAGGGTTCACCACAAGAATGATAACAAGGAATCAAATTTACATTTGATGATATAATCACATTTTTATTTTATCTCTTTTACCTCATTAAAACTTCCAGAATCTACTGTGTGAAAACGCTAATTTTGTTCATTTATAAAGGTTTCCTGCTTAACACAAGATGTCTCCTACTTCACTGTAGTACACTGTATGTGCACTGGTGGCTTCACGTTTCTACATCACATTTGTGTAAGTTGCAAATTGGACCAGGATTGACTTGCAAACTATTTTCGCCATCACAAACAGTTCAAATCTGATTTTCAGTGAGCACAGAGAAACTTTCCACTTTCAGCAGATTAATGTGAAAACATCCTTCAAGTGTCAAACTCTATACATACACTAATCTGTACAAACTGAAGGAACAGGAAGAAAAATGCATTTCTGAGTGGAGGGGAACTTTAAAAAATGTACATGCACTTTCCTAGCTAACAGAAGGATGGAACAAAGACAACTTGACAACCAGAAAGGATGCCAGTGTCTCTTTACCAGAAAATAGTTCCTGAGATTAAGTATAATGTAAATATGTTAAATGCTGTAGAGAATGATAAACACTGACTTTGGACAGTCTGCATCCTTGACTGACAAAAAGTTTGGTGGAAACACTTCCAGTGAGTTAAAAACTGTATTACAGTGCACTTACGAGTTCTCAATTGCTGTGTGAAAGATGGAAGAGGCATTTCTGTCTGTCCCCAGCTGTGGCGCATTCCAGAGGTGCACACCAACTCTCTGTTCTCTATTGCATAACTCTGTTCAATTCTCTCCGGAGATACTGAAAAAACATAAAAAACGATTAGTAATCATTGAGCTATGGCTATTAAGATGGGAGAGCAGTAATGGCTGACACGTACTGGCATGCCGCTGTAGAGAAAGGCAACAGCCAAGCACCCAACATAATCTCAAAATCTGATCATGAACACTCCGTGATTCATCCTCACCTGTCCTCCTTTTCTTGTGGGACACTAAAGGCAGCAGGTCATGACGAGTGAGGACTCTCAGTAGTTGCAGCAGTGGCTCCAGTTTGCCATCACTGAGGTATCCTCGCTTCTCCAGCTCTAATAACAGCTCAAGGCCACTGGTGGGCTTACATGAGGCCACTAAGGGACGCTGAGAGCTCTGAGGCTTTAACCGCATCCAGGCCTTTAGCAGCTCAGGACTCGGGGACACGCCCAAGTCATCTGGTTCACCCACACAGGGCTCAACTGTCCAGCCTTTTGGATCAAGAGGGTGTGGTGCAGGACAGGTTTCATTCAGAAGGAATGACAACACCTCAATGTCTGTCTCTGTCAGCTGAGAACCAACTATGTCAAAGACCTCATGGAGAGACAACATCCCATAGTAGTTCAGGCACTCTGTTTCATCCCAGTAAAGTGAGTCCCGGCACGGGTACCCTGGGTGGTGCACTGCAGCCATGGGTCTGCCTATAGCCCCTCTCCACCTTCCCACCTGTTTCAAGACTGTTTAGAATAAAAGAAATAAAACAAACACAGATAAACAGCACATTAAACAGACATTTAAGTTAGGAAATAACAGCATAGGGTTCTACTTTTGTCTACTTGCTTAGCATCAAGGCATTCAACCACCAATATGAATAAAACTATGCTGTACTCTAGTGCATTTTGAGTAAATTAAATTGTTTTTGATTAGTCCCTGCTGAGAATGTCCTTATTTAACACAACTTTTACCATAATTTCCTGCCACCGTGTGAACTCAACTAAATTATACTCCGTATAGTTTTTAAATTCCTTTAAAAACTTGAATATAACTCGACAATTAGCAGGAAAAAAACGCTATAAGTTAAGCTACATTCCTCGTAAACTAGCAGTCAGCTAAACCCGACAGCAAGCCGCCTGTGCTTCACAATATAACGAAGCTGTGGTTGATGCCATCCTAACATTTCCGCGTTAACGTAACGTAGCGACGTTTTCTCCGGTCTACCGTGTTTTTAAAGGCCCTGTTTTTAGCAAGCTCAGCAGTCTTAAATTACCTATTTTCGGTGTCAGCTCGACGTTGTCTTCCAACATGTAGTACAAAGTGTGAGTGTGTTATGTTGTCGGCGTTTCTCCGATGTCCAGCAGCAACCGGTGGAGCAAATTACCCTCTTGGCACGTTACGTAATCACGTATCTCTGAGGGGCAAAAAAAACAACAAAAAAAAACAACAACACATTGCTTTTCAAACTGCTGTTTAGCTATAAATACCCACATTTAAATGAAAAAACAGTGCACAACTTGGAGTAATACGACGCCTAGTATAGATATTCCGCTCACTGTGAACAGAAATGTGTCGTGTATTTTCGATAACAGACATGAACAGATATTAACGTTGTTAGCTGACGTTAGCCTTTAGACGGGCCTTTGTAAAGAGAGGCACTAAACTGCTATATAATTACGTGTCTAAATGCATGTTCAGAGCGATATTTAAACATTTAATGTACCTGACAACTCGCGTTCCCAGATATTGGCGTTGTGTGCAAACTCCCACAGCACCGTGCAGTACTGACAGCTACACAACAACATACACAAGCTGACCAATCACAGCCCTCCGTCTGTTCGATGACGCCCGGTCACGTTATAGTTCAGCTGATCTGCGGTCAGATCATCTCCACCAAGTCAGCGGAACAGAAAATAATACAGCTGATCTCAGGTCGGTTTGTTTTGATTCTATTGTCTCGGCTGTATCGCAGTAAAATACAGTAAAATGCAGCACTGTCCTTTCTTCCCATAACATATTGCTTTCCACTCTACTATCACTGCCACTGGGAAGTGTGAACAACATAAACCCAAATGTCTTAAAAACAAACAAATATATAGTTATAAATACCATTTCCTACATGCACCTGTACTGCATGTAGGAAATGGTATAGCCTATATTCTTCTGCTAAATCACTGCTGTATAAGTGTCCTGTGTAATTTTTAATTTGTATACCATGCCACTACCTCCTGCTGTAACCTGTACAATATTCTATATCAGTCACATCTGTATAAAAGCTGTATATAGTGTAAAAACAACAACTCTAATTCTATTTTGTTTTATGTTTTCATTATTATCTTGTATTTTTCTATTTTATTTTGTTAGTTAATGTGTATTTCTTTTTTCTTATCTGCTGTGTTGTTGTCTGGAGCTTCTGTAACATGTGAATTTCCCCAGTGTGGGATCAATAAAGTATATCTTATCTTATCTTATCTTATCTTATCTTATGTTATTTGTGGGGAATAGTTGATAAATAGTTCAAATAAATACAGAAAACATAAAAACATGTAATTGATGTGCAGTCCCGGATGCGGCCAGTAGGTGGCGGTGTTGTGCGCCTCGACAGCAGGAAGTTAAAAAAACATCCACATCACATCCGTGAAACAGCACAGCAACAAAAGGTCTGAGACAGTCCCACCAAAGTTCAGATGTAAGTATATCTGGTTTAAGGATCACATATTAGACAAATATGTTATTTTATATTCGTTTTACACATCCAGCCGCCGGCGTTACCGTATCGCGATGCAGAAACTGTCACGACGTGTATTGGATATAAACGCTAGCAGAGAAGCTAGCTCTGGCAATCTTTTCAACAACCAACAAACTTCTCTTTCCTACACACTGTTTTTTATTTCACTTTACATATGTATATACTTGTTTTTACGCTATCTAAGTTACTCCATAACGGAATACTTTATGGACGTAGGCAGGCAACCGACGATCCGGTGTTTTGAGCGATGTGGCAGTGCGACCAAGCCCTTTGTTGACTAAAATGTTCCATTAGCTATTCAACAACTTGTGTCTCAGTATCTCCAGCCTGCATGGAGAAGTGAAGTGTAGGCACCTAACTGTTGTCATGAACAAATTAGTCATTAACTACTTGCTTATTGATTTAGCTTATGATTCTTACTTGTGAAATGTTGACACTTTAATTTACAAATGCCCCTAACAATCATTCATTATTGATTCCTCTATCAGTACAGATTTCAACCAACTGGTTGATGAGTTAGTCTGTTTTAAAATATCTGAAGTAGTATCAAATATTTGTAAGTTAAAAGTTTTGCTAGAAAATAGAGAAAGAAAACAATTTCTAATGGGATGAAATTAATAAAGCAGTCAACTATTAACCTTTGTGAAGCTATAAGCAGCAACTGTTTGGTATTTTGTATTTAATAAATATATTTTATTGGTGAGTTATCTGAAGTGAAATTATTGAATTATCTGTGGATGAGGAGAGGATTGTAAGTCATCTGTAGTGCTGGTGAGTTAGGGGTTAGTTTTAATGTTTCATAATGATGCCAGCACCAATAATAGTGGTGCAAAATTAATAATGAATTATTAATTATATATAATACAATATAATGATTAATTCTACTTATGAATATTATGATTTTTTTTATTTTTTATTTAACATAATAAGTATAGTTAATAACTTTGTTTCAGTAAGCATCACTTCATCAACTCTGGTCAGGCCTGGAAGTTCTGCTAGTTGTTCCCTGCACTTGTGTCTGAATAAAAAATGGAAATCGGGTCAAGTGTTTGGCCACAGTCAGATTTCATTATTCTTTTAGTCAATGGTTAAGTTACTGATTTTTTAAAATGTATTTCTAACTGATTAATAAATACATCACTGCAAACAAGAAAGAAATAGTGCTAGCACTAATGATGTTGAAATGATATTACATTTTTGTAGCAGACAGTCTGTAGATGCCATCTGGAGCTCAGAAGGGGGAGAACTGTCTTGTAGACATGGACAGCAAGGCTGGAGATCTGTTCAGTGCTGAGGAAGCTCGTCCAACAGGCACAGGTGGAGCTGGAATCATGGCAAAGTACGGGCTTATATATTCTTATGTTTCTATTTTCTTTATACTTACTTACTGTATGTATTCAGTTCTTAATGCCTTTATCTCATTTCATAGACTCTGGCTCCCCAAAGGCTTCTCAGTCAGTATGGCTAAGGAGTGGATCGACAGGCGTCGAGTGTCCATTCGACCTTGGGCCGGCTTTGTGGACCAACGCAAGTTTTCAAAACCCCGAAACTTTGGAGAGATGTGTCAGAGGGTGGTGAAAAATGTGGAAATTTACAACAGCAATTATACCTTCATCTTCCTCGGTCTCATCCTCTACTGCATGTAAGGCCAACAAAGATGTTTTGTCAATGGGAATATTTTCTCCTCCTGCTGTACCGCACCTTACTCACACAGTCTGGGTGCACTAAAAAGAAAAAAAAAAAAAGAACAACCAGCCTGAGATTTTATTTAAAAAGTAAAAAATACAATAATTTAAGCTTTCGATTAAGACCAAACTAAATCTAAAAATGCTGCTATAATTGACACCAAATTAACTGGATGGCTGATGTTTCTTCTCCTCAGTATCAGCTCTCCAATGCTACTGATTGCCTTGGCTGTCTTCGTTGGTGCCTTTTACATAATTCACCTCAAGTCCCTGGAATCCAAACTTGTTGTCCTCGGTGAGTAACGCTGTCAGGTATGCCTTGCAACCCATTAATTATGTTCCTGCTAATTAAAATGAATTCTTCTTGGCACACTGGAGCCGTATTCTGAGCATTGTGAATCCTTTGTGTTTGTGTATCTGCAAAGATAGATCAAGCTTACCAGGATTTGTTCAAATATTTTAAACAGTATTTCCGTTTGTCTGTATTAATTGTGTAAAATGTGTATGTAAATTAAATTGATTACATGTTACTTTTCTCTGACTTGACAGGTAAAGAAACACATTTTTCAAATATAGATTAAATGCATGTCTATATATATATATATCCTATTATATCCTATTATCATTAAGGTTAACCAGTACAAAAATATTGTTCATCAGAAGCATTATTTATGTGTTGTTTTATCTGTAATTTTCTTGCCAACCAGGCAAGGAGCTGACTGTCCCTCACCAGATGAGTCTGGCTGGAGCTGTTTCTCTACCGGTGTTCTGGTTGGCTGGAGCTGGAGCTGCAGTGTTTTGGGTTCTGGGTAAGCCAAACCACACGCAGGAATATATATTTTTTTTATGCTTGTCAGGGCACTATTAATCCTTTTTTAAATAGTATTTATGTATTAAAGCATATTCTTCTGTGACTGTGTAAGAGTAAATGTGTACAGACACATCTTCATCTTCATTGTTTTTCCCTTAACATTCCCCTTTTCCATTTGTCACGTCTCCTCTCAGGAGCGACACTGTTTGTGATTGGCTCTCATGCTGCGTTCCGGGAGCTGGAGGGATCCGACATGGAAGAGCTCCTCATGGAGCCTGTGTGAAGAGCTTGCTGAACTCTCAGCAGGTGCTGGTCAACGATCAGTCATCACTTTGACCCTGTAATCATGTTACTGGAGGGGTTGAGGAAACCTGCTCCCAGATCTGTTCCTTTGCTATGTGTGCAACCCCTGTTCCTTCTATCTTATCTATGCCAGTATACCAAGAATGCACCTTGTCTTGCCTTTAAAGTAGTCATTATTACAAACTGTATTGCCTTTTTCAAACTTATTCATACACACAACACAAATAATTAATTTGTTAATGAGTATTTAAGGACATTATCATACGGGTTATATGCCTTTCTCTACATATTTTATACCTTGGATGCCTCTGGTTTGTGTCAAATAGCCTCTGGCTCCCTGCAATGTCCCTTATACAGTGACATATCTTTATTAATCTCTTACGACTATTTGTGCTGTACTCTCTGCTGTAGATATCTTCAGTAATAGCTTCTGTATCTAAACTATCTGAAAAGATTGCTGATTTCTTATGTCAAGATAATGTAAACAGCATAAGTGCAATGTTTGCAATTCTAAACTGCTAAAAATAATTTATTTTCCAAAGGAAAAGTGCCATTTCAAGCTTTAAAAAAATATGGTTCTTATAATGATCATGCACAATACATGTTTATTCAAGACAATACAAAATGCTATTGGGTATATCGGATACTTGTACAGTACTTGACACAGATAAGTTGATGATAAGGTATCTTAGGTCAGTACATTAGTAATGGTGTTTTGTATTTTGAATAATGTGGTACTTTGCTGACTGTCTGTATGCATATTTATCAGCTCTACTTACAACGTTCAGATTTGAAGGTCATTCTGTAAACCTGAAATATTCCTTTCTTTAAATTCATTATTCATTTGTTTACATTTTGATGTAAGTTGGGTGTTTTGTATTTAAATTACATTTTGGAAGTGCAATAAACCCCTGATATATAGATAGCTTGTCACTGGTTTCTACAGCCATTTGATGTCCAGTTCTTTGTTATTGTGCTTCAAATGAATTCAGGTAATTTATTCTATTCAGTCAAACAAACAGTTGATTACTGTTTGTTGTTCCATCCGTGGCAGGAGTTGTAGTGAACTCAGTGGCTCTTGGTACTTAGGTTGTACATTTTCTCATTATTCTGGTCTGGTCTGAATACACAGTGGAATAGGACAGTTTCATCTTCTTTTCTATCTCTTGTACACTAAATGCTGCAGCACTCACCAACCCCCTCTTGTCCCCCTATGGTCCCCCTCTTGTCCCCCTTTTCATGTGACCCCCATGACCTGTGCTCTGTGACAGCACAGCAAGAGGACCCCATGCTCAGGTTGCCATGGCAATGACCTTGGAGGGCCCCAGTCAGACACATTCTCGTCCACAGACACACTCGCTTACACACTGCGGCAAAGGCGAGCGATCGATATTCTATTATACGGAGGGTGGCGAGGGGGGGAGGACGAGAGTCGCACTGCAGTGAGCTCACTGCAGAGACACAGGGGAAATTAGAGAGAGGGTGAGGGTTTGAGTGTGTTTGTCAGTGAGAGTGACAGAGAGTGCGTGTGCGTTTGTGTGTGTGTGTGTATGAGCAAGAGACACTGCATTTGTCATTAGAGAGTGGTGCCACAAAGTTTTTGTTTTTCTCTGTCATAGGGACATAGATTTTAACAGGGTGTGGCAAAGTGACCTCTCAGACCACCCAGCCCTTATCTCTCCCATTATAGAGCTCTATATTGTGTATAATTTATTTGATTTGTGAAGTAGGTGGGCAATAAGAGGTTCATTTAAAATATATGACCCTTGTGGCGCAGAGAGGTTGCACAATTACAGTGTGTTCCCTTAAGATAAGAGATATACTGCCTTGCTTTATTTGCAGGAATGTAACCTTTTGGAAATCACTTCACTTTATCACAAAAGCTGCTATTCCTTCCTTATAACATTCATGTACCATTTCTGATTTATTGTAGTCTTGACAGATGAGTTTTTTTTTTAAAAAAAGAGGACATTGCTCCCTTTGTAAGCTTCTCCCACTGACAGTGATTCTCACCCTGAAGCTCATCAGTGTTGCTATCAGACTGACACATTTACAGAGTGGTTTGGTGCATTACCCTGGGCTGCTGCCAACTCTTCCTCCTATGGCAGTTTAACATGCAGTTTGCAGGTTGAAGTCCATACAAATTCACACTAGGTGGCATCCCATCCTCATGTTTCTACTCACTCCTGCTGCGTTGTACACCACTCAAATCTTCAATCAAGCATTACATATAGAAGTATTTATCATATTCATCAGTTTAGAAGTGTGATTAAATAATGGCAATATTGAGTTAATCTCGTACATGAATATGTTAGAATTAGTCTGATTCGGTCCCTAAATTACTTTACTTAAGATTTTTACGTATTCAGTTTCACATGCGACGCTATCCCTTATAAATGGGTTATGTTGCAGGTCTATTGTAATAAATTGAATTAAATTCCTTACAAATCTTCCTAGTATGCAGCTTTGATGAGTGATGCATATTATTAGCAATTTTTAAGAAAGAGCCGTATAGAAAGACAAAGACTAAGGGCTATCAAAGATAAGAACGCCTTTTAATTCTCTAATAAATTAAGAGTGAAGTGTAGTAAAAACCGACACAGAAAGACACACAGACAGGTCTAGGTTGTATTAAATGTTCTAGATGTTTTATTGGTGTTGGTTTCATTTATTTGACACACATGTTCTACTAGTTGTGTATTTTTTTTTTCTTGAATTTCAACTCTTGCAGCCATCTGAGATAGACCCAGCCTGAGACAGTTGGCCCTTCACTGGTCTCCAACACATACATGCACACATACCTGGGTCTTACCGGGCTATACCAGGACCTGGACAGAACCAGAGCTGGACCCAGTCCGGTAATAGAGCCCAGGCACGTGGCCTCATCATCCCCACTCACCACATCACAGCCCACTGCACCACATCATACCGGCACACCTGCAGTGACAGGAACCTGAAAGCCTTGGTTGGTGTCCTGTGTCTTTATGTAAAAACACAACCAAAACCCTGCTCTGCTGTTACAGTTTTAGAGTAGCCTCCTGAAAAACCAGCAAAATAACTGAAACCAAACAAAAAACAAAAAGAGAGACACATATCTCTTGCTTTTTCCTATCTCACCAATTTTGTTGTTCTTCTTCATGAATGTCTCTCTTGAGCTGTTTTTCAACGTATGTTTTTTATTGTTTCATTTAAATTCAGTATAGAATTATATAGATTTCCTAGAGCACACAGAAAGATTGAGTTGTATTTACCAAC